CTGAGTCAACTAACAAATTTAGGTATTTTTATATTTTATATAAACGTACGTGATAAGTCGTGATCTTAACATTTGTGTAAAAAAAAATTAAAAAAGAACGATAATTACCGAAATAATTTCACGTATACTAAATCAACTGCAACATCAGTAAAAATCATACATTGTAAACTGATCTAACTAACATTGTACCAGTGTACGCGGGGCGTGAGGGAGGACGCGTTGAAACAACTACATCGCAGCTCAGTATACGACCATGGGCGTCGAGTGCTATTAGTAACAAAATGGAGTCAAACAGTACTTTTTATTATAAACAGAAACTTTCTTTATATAATTTCACAATATTCAATCTGGGATTTCGTCAGGGTTATTGTTTTTCATGGCATCAACAGATAGCAAAGAGAGGCGCTAATGAAATTTCCAGCTGTGTTTTCAAGTTTATAGAAGATACGGTGGGTAATGGTGTCAAAGATTACCGGTTCTGGTCAGACAACTGTGGAGGCCAAAATAGAAACAGAATTGTATTCTTAATGTATATGTTAGCTAGTTTGAAGTTTGTTATAGATATTAGTAGTGGGTCACACTCAAAATGAAGGCGACAGTATGCACGCTTTAATTGAAAGACAGACTAAAGATAAGTTGCTTTATACGCCTGATCAATGGTATACAGCTTTTAGATTTGCTAAATCCGATGAAAAGCCACACAAAGTTACTAAAGTGTCGCAGGATTTAATTAAAGACTTTAAATCACAGCTAAAACTTATAAACAACTGGACAACTACCAACGATGGACCCAAAATGCTCTGGAATAAGGTAGTAGAAGTTAAAGCGGAATATCCATTTAGGCTGATTTATAAGACGAGTTACCAAGATGATTCTTACACGTGGATAGATTGTGTAAAAAACCTAAAGCTACACGAAATCGAACGATTGCGATTCTGACTGATCTCTAATTTGTTAAACTTTATATTTTTTGAGCATTAGAAATGCCTTGACTGTTGTGTTATTAGTTTCTATTATTTTTATTAAAATTGTATAACGTAAGTTACCATTTTTAGTTCTTATTATTTTTGGAGACGTACTAGAGAAGTACCTGTTTAATTTCTTTTTATTGATTGTTCATTGTTTTTTGTTAAATGTTTATTTGTTTTTTCTTCTAGCTTTCTAATGGATCTAACTATAGCGATTCTGATTTACTTCTAATTTGTTAAGCCTTGTCACTAATTTTTGAGTATTAGAAATACCTAGACTGTTACGTTATTAGTTCCTATAATCTTCATTAATGTTTTCGTAAGTTACCATTTTTAGTTCTGATTATTTTTATTGACCTACTAAAGGAGAAGCTGTTTTAGTTTTTATTTTGATTGATAATTGTTTGTTGTTTTTTATGGAACTTTAATGATGGAGCATTCATATTTTTAATAGTGATTAGTTTACGTTTAGCTTTTTATAAAACAATTAATTTAAAAAGATATTCCTACTTAATTATGGTGAAAAGAAAATTATGATTCTTTAAAATGAGTTTTTTTTGGTTTATAATTCTTGTACTTCTTCCTAGCTTTTATTAATCCCACATATCGTAAAATATTAAAAAAAAATTAATAAAAAACCTCGCGTAAGTTACATTGGTCCACTATACGTTGAGGTTTTAAATGCTAACATTGCTAGTACTTTCCTCGTATAATGAGTCAAGTGATATAATTTCAACATTTTATTATTAAGTGAGACAGAAAACCCCGAAAATGAATAAAAGTAAAAATATATTCATAAAATGACCACCATGTTTTATGTGGTTTAGGTGTAAACGATGGATTTTGGTGGACAACGTATATGAATATAACTGGTAGTTAAACCATTTCACTATTGAGCCCCGCCGGCGTATACCCAGTCATCTACATAAAATGTAATTTAAAAACAAAAATCAGCAAAATCATTATATGTCAAAGGAAGTGCTTACAATTTTTATTAAAAAAAAACATTTACTTTATTTCGAATTAATTTGATTTCATTAAAATATAAACGATTTGCCTTCAAATCACTCTCCTGTAAAATTACAATAATGTCAGTTGACTCATTATACTTAGGAGGTATCGAATGATTCTCTTAATGTTGAAGGGGATATGGAAATTGATTATGTGTTCGTACTGCATTGCAGAATTGGGTTTTTGAAAAAAAAAAAAGTATTGATTTTTTTTATGTATTTTAAAACTTTATTATTAATTATATTGGATTTTTAATGCAAAAAACTTGAAATATATTTTTTAAATTAATTATAAACAATTAAAAATTGATAAAATTCAAAAATATATCACGTGACTGTAAACGCGCCATGATTGGTCAGCATACTTGTGACGTCATAATGTTAAAGCAATTTCATAATAGTACAGTGTTTATGGCTATTATCTTTAACTTGATAAAAATATCTCAAATTTATTAGTGAAAAACGATTTGAAAAGTTTATTTCGACTATGTGTGATAAAGGATTTATAAAAGCAAAATCGGATAATATTCCTGATGTTAATATATTTTTATGATAACTAATTTTTTAAAAAGTGCGGTTTAATTTTGCTGAAGTTCGAGGTGCTAAGACATCAAGGTAAGTCTGTCAAAAAATACTATTCTAAATGAAAATTAGTATTTATTCTCTATTAAATATAATTAATAATTATTTCATTAAATCATTATTAATAAAATGTTATTATAACATTATAAAAAAACCAAAATAACATATATGTACTTTAAAAATTTAAATGTAGTCTGATACAGAACCTAGAATGTTATAAAATTATGAAAATATCTATTAATTGAAGTCCAATTATTAGACAAACATATATATAGATTTACTATTTAATCGCTTTGAATTATCAATTAAAATTTTTTAATGCTACGATTCTAAAGGTTATGATTTGGAGCCCAGGTAAAAAAATTAATTATTGAACTATACTTATTCGATTTATACACTTAGATAAATAATAATTAATAACAATACTATTATGAAAACTTACAACGAAATGATCTTCACAACAAAAAAAAATGATTTTGTTTTTGAATAATCTCGATGCACTGCTTGAAACCATTTCTTTCGACGTTTTTCGTCTTGTGGAACATTTAAAAACATTTTTTCAGGAGTTGTTTTTGTAGTCTTTGTACATAATGGTACAAAACTTTTGATTATTTAACAATGCCAACAGAATTTACTAGATAAAAACTCAAAACACTGTACTAATTATTATATCTCTGTATGCTACAATGAGCAAAAACTAACATTGTGACGTCACACGCGCTCGGGTTTATTCACGAGCTGTCGGCTTGTCTTCGGTACTGAATTTAAAATTTAATTTTTATTTTGAAATAACTTTTTAAATATTGCAAAAAAAAATAAAATAAAAATAGTTTTGTTATTAAACTTATATATGATCTTTCCATTTATCACAAAAAAAAAATTATTCAAAAACCCAATTATATATGTAAAATATTTGCAATTTGATTTACTCGCATGAAAATTCTATTTGTATTATCAAAAAAAACTCTATCTGGTTGAAGTTTGAAGTTTGCTTTTATTATAAAAGGTTTTAAGATCAAACAGAAAAAAACTGTCGAAAATTCATATTTAGAATGACAAAAATTTGGGTGTATTCTTCGTGAGACACTTACACACAGTTAATTTCATAGCAGCTTTAGTTACTCTAAAATTTAATAGGAGTATTAAATAAAAAAATTCAATGTTTTCTCAAATGATTTCTATTAAATTTAAATTGCTAACCGGGTTCAAGAAATATATAAAATTTGTATGATGCCTAGCAACGTATCAACTCTTTTGCTATAGAAGTACTGCTAGGTCCTCTATTAAATTTTGGTTCGAAAGTTTAAAGATTTTGTTAATTTAAGGTAACAGAAAAAAATATTATTCCTTATTCTTTTGCATTTATGCAAAATTACTTTCCGAGACTACAATCGTCTTTTGACTTACATAATAAATAAAAAGAAAGTACAGATGTGTATAATGTTTTCTTGACCAAGTCAATTTTATAAATAGTCCTTCTAATATGGCTATGCCTATTCTATTTGTGTGTGAAAATAAAAGCAAAATTCTGAAGCATTCCGTAAGTGATATTTCTTTTCAATGTAAGCTTTACTCTGCTTTATTTTCTTTGGCAACATTTTGTTCAAAAATCCTGTATTTATCCTGTCTAGAAATACCTAAACTTAAAAACTTCGGAAGCAATGAGGTAATTCACCCATTTCCAAAGGTTCATCCTGTGATTCATTTCATTTTATAAGTACTTCGGTTTCTAATTGAAAGACATTTAATAAAGACTTCATTTATTCGAGTGGATCAGTGTGAACATTACCTTATTATTAGATTATATCTAAGGTACAAAATAAGGCTGTATCGTGAAACGTGAAGACGCTTACACTAAGGCAGTTCTCGCTTACCATATCGTGCAATAGAGGCTTTATTCTGTAACCGTTCTGTTCCAAGTCTAATAAAAATTGTATATGATTTTAAGTAGTCACAGATGAGTTTAAATATTTTCGATATTACAGAATAGAGCCTCTAGCTTTACAATAATTTACAACATATGAAGCTCCTAATTACTTATATATTCTATTCTAGTAATTGGTCGAAATACTCAAGGTTAGAATAAAGCCTTCAACTTTTATTTTCATATGCAAGCCGAATAGAAGCGGGATCCTATTTTAATAATTTTCACATCACTTGTATACTAGAATAATAATTGCTTGTTGTATTATTTTTATTAGAAACTATATAATACAAGAAACATAAAAACTTTTTCTTTTGTGTTTATACTTCATAGAAATGTTATATTTTTTTCTCTTTTTTAATTAAAGTAATATAAACATCACGTGCTGATAATTGAAATTTAAAATTTCATATAAAGCGTTGGATCAAGTTTCAAGTAGGCTACAACTGGAGATTGCATATATATCAATTGTATGAGTATTATTACTATCGTATTGCTAAATACAATTTACTAATTTTAAACAATAACAGAATGCCTATTGGTCTTTTTATCTGGGGCATAAGGTTCTAATTTCGCTGGTTCGGTGTTTAAAGCGCTGTAGTCAACTGGAAAAGGCGGCTGTGGTAACGGATCTGTAGGAGGAACGAGGACCCACTGTCCGGGACCATTAGGGTTCTTACCCATCAACCAATTAGTGAAACAGTGGACATAGGTTCCGTAGTCGAGTATTAGGTAGTTATTCTGAAATAAAATAACACATAAAACATATTTAAAACCGAAAATCCAAAAATATTATCGTAATAATCTTTAAAGTACTTCCCATACAATTTTGTTTTGTCATTACGGGATAATGGAGAATTCATAAATTTCAGTTTATCGTTGGTATTGAATATATAGACATTCTTTCTATATATCGTTATCTAGAACTTACACTTGTCATTCTGGCGTACGCTGTGTCAATGATTTCTTCAACTCTAGCTGCTGGCAGACCGATGACTGAACGATAAAACGCGGCTAAAGCTGTTTTAGATATGTCACCTGTACCTGATTGAAGAATAAATTATAAATAAGCTATTAAAATATAAATTATAGTTTTTGAGTTCAAATTATCTAGACATTGAAGTATTATCGTTTCGGAATCATATAACCTTGTTTACAAGGTATTATAAAATTCTACTTCATTACGATTTTATTTAGCAAGTACTTATTTATATCAAAGAATAATGTGATACTTTACAAAGTAGTCTTAAATATAATATTAATAAACAGTATCAAGCAGTACACGAACTTATGTTTAAAAATTCACGCTTTGCATGCTTACGTACTTATAGGAGAGGACTCTTAAAATGAATAAATTAAAGTGATTAACACTTAAAAAGCGACAATGTAATTAAGAATGAAAAGGGTTACCAAAAAATTAAGAAATCATCCATATTTGAATAATTAATTTAACGGAATACCTTCTGGCTCATTCTTGTTAAAGGTAAAATATTAGAAAAAATGTTAGTTTCACTTATATTAGAAAAAAGCTTTTGAGAAATAATGGAACCCGTTTCTGTAACATAATTTAAATTCATAACTCAGTTATGTATTACTGGAACTCGAATCCTGATAAAAAAGAAAATCTTTAAAAAGTTTGTATTTGCATCGTTTATTTTAATATTTTATCACGTCCTTCATAAATAAGTAATTGTGATTATCTTTAATTACTTACATATAATATATTCTAATGCAGATATTGCATGTAAAAGTAAAATCAAAGGAATACTAAAATCAGTTTGTATTTTGTACATTCCTTGGTAAAAAGTAAAATGTTGAACTTGAAACTAATTGTTAGGTCATAATATTTACTTTCTCTATCCACCACATGGAAAAGAATCTTGCAAAGGTACTGTAGATACAATGGTAGATCTACAAATCGCTTCATTTCACTCAACTGCAGCGCCCATCTTGCTAACCAGCCTTCTAAAGTAGTACGACCCGGAATGCCGCCGGCCTCGGGTCCACAAACTCTTCTATAATACGCCAGTTCAGCAAATCTATTAATGGTTAGAAATGAATTTGGTTTTAAAAATGAATATTAAATTACATAGTTCGAAAGATGTTTCATTGGTTAGTGTTGGACAATTTTTTTTTATTTCAGATGGGTTTGAGCTTACTTAGAAATCTTTTGTAAGTGAAGTGTAATATTAAAAAAGTCGACTTACTTGGTGGGCAGTGGACTTATAAAATGTTCTATAAATTCCCTCTTGACTTCTAACAGTATGTGGAACTCGGATGAATTTGTCGACCAATCGGCAAAGTGAGCAAGTTTCTGTAAATTTGCCTCTATGCTAATTTAATTATAAAAAAATGCGCTAAAGTTGTAACAGTTTTTGATATTTTTAAAAATATTTTCTTCTTAATGTCGGATGAAAATAGTTCTTAAAATAAATTAAGATATATGATTTACATAATAATAACCTCAAAAAAATTATCAAAATCCTGATCACAGATAACATCATCTCTGTCATGGTCTAACAGCTCGGTGAAGAAAAGTGTCATTTTGTCCGATTGAACAGAACTCAGCTGTGCTAGGGGCTGCTCTTCTTCTAGATCTAAACATTCTAAATCTTCGCTGCAGCGATTTACCCATGTTGCTGTTAAATAAAAAATATTTTATTATTATTTGAAATAAATTAAATATAAATTCTTTAACGGAGTAAAGATAATTCTTGATGAAGGAAAGGGTAAGTAACCTTTAAGAATAAATTATAATTACAATTATTTATAACGTTTGTGGCTTTAGAATAACTATAACTTATGTCATAATGAGCCGTACACACCAAAACAGTTTTTTAAGCTGTTATATGGAAAAAATCGTTAAAACACACAAACAATTTTTTGTCAGATTTTCACTGTTTGTTTGTTTTTATCACATCTCATTAGTGAAGTAGAAAAAAAAGTAATTATTATTATACGTTGTCACGTATTTGAAGAATAGGAGTGACCAGCTAATTATAGCGTACTAGCTTTCCGCCCGCAGCTTCGCCGCGTGGAGTTCGGTTATATCGCGTTTCCAAGAGAACCTTTCAAAAGTCTGGGATAAAAACTATCCTATGTTCTTTCTCAAGGTCAACTCTATCTCTGTACCGAATTTCATTAAAATCAGTTCAGTGGTTTAGGCGTGAAAGCGTAGCAGACAGACAGACAGACAGACAGACAGACAGACAGACAGAGTTACTTTCGCATTTATAATATTAGTAGGGATAACACGTTAGGAAAATAAATATCTACCGATTGCTTAATTATTACATTTTAATACTATTAGAGTACCATAATAAATTTCCCCTATATCTGAAATTATAAAACATTCATGCTAGCTACTCTTTGAGTAAAAACTGAAATATATACAGACTTTTGCTTGTGACTGCTAGAATACATTGTTATTTTTTGTCCCTCAAACGGAAAAAAAGGTAAAATGAATATCGATATCGAAGTAAAGGGGAACAAAAATACCACTGCAAATACTCGCACATAGTTAAAAGTAAATATAATAACAACATGCCGGTTTGACCTAGATACGTTTTTATAGAACTCTTAATAAGAGGACCTTTAAAGAACAATAAATAAGAGTATTATTTTAAGCGATTATTGACTTAACGATATAATTTTAATATTTATTCCAAGCAATCAAAGCGGACGTCAGAACGCAAGGTATATTTAAATATCGAGGGTGTAGCTCCGCACTGCGGTACCTTTTGTTTTAAGGTCAACTGTCCATGGGGAAACAAGTAGTTCAAGAAGTTTAAGAAGTTTTAAGCAACGAAATTAGTCAATATTCCTAATACTTTTTACCTTAACTCTTCAAGAACGTTTACAAGATGTTTCATATTAAATATATTTACTATAGAAAAATGTAAACCCAGACTATTTTAACCGAGATTATACTAGTATATATATATTTCTACCTTATATGTACAGCAAGTTTATTTCCTTTAGTACTCGTAATTTCAATATGTCGTGTTTATTATCAGAAAAGCTATTAACTTATCGTTATTCAACATGACAAGCATATTGTATTTTTTCCTTTTAAAACACAAGACTAACTTATTTTTAGATTTAATAAGACGACGTCCTCTGAAATTTTGCAGAAACGTCAAACAATCAACTTACACATGTTATTAAATTTAACTAAACAGTATGTTTCAATACTTGCCTGAATCGAATTCATAGAATAAATCTAAAATTATTGTATTTATGCTTATATACCAGTTGTTATTAAAAACTTAGTCTTAATTGCACGGAGCTCGTTCCATAAAACATCATCTTACTTTCAAACAAGACTTAAAAAAACACCTCAAAGATTAACCAGATTAGTTATTATTTCTGAATGATATAATTATCCCATTCTAATTACGATAGTCTTATAACATTTCAATTTAAGTATTTATAAGAACAAATACTTACTCCACACATGAACACTCCAGCCGTGATGTTTATCGTTTTCACTTCCTTCTTGTTGCATCTGGGTTCCAGCGACTTCAGATTCTGGCAATGTCCTCCAACGTTTCAGAAGCTCTTTTGTTTTGTCTTTAGTTTTGTCGCATGCCTGTTTCCAGTTGTGAAAATATTTTCGCGATACCTTTGGGCTCAATGTCGATGCTTTTGAATCTTGTCTGTAAATATTGTAGAAATTAAGGAAATGTTTTTTATCTTTCGTTTGAACAAGTATGTGCGATCAATTTATTTACTCTAAGTCGTTCTAAGAGTTATAGGAATGGTAAATGTTATAAAAAGATTTTCACCAGCTGCTTTTTAATTATATTTAAAGTTAATACGATTATAAATACGACATCTGAAGCAGAATAATTGTAAAAAAAGAGAAATACTTTTCTAGCTCATTAAATACAAAGTTATATCCTAAAACTTCCTTCATTTGCTTGACAAATAAATATGTATATATATATATGCATTCTACATTTATAAAAGTTATTGCATTCATAAAATTAATTAGAATCCTTCGTAATGGAAGCATACTCTAGGGTATTTAATATTTCCAAGTAACTACACCTGAGGAAGCTTAATAAACAAAAATCTTTTGTTCTTATATCTATCATTCAAGATTAATTTATTATCAAAAAAACTTATTATTTAATTACTTTTCTACTAAAATTTATCAAGCATGGATGAAACTGTAAAGCATATGGAAGATGTTTATGGTAGTAAATGGCAATCCAAATAATCCATTACAAGTTAATGGCTGATTATTTTAAATTCAAGTAATATTGAAGAAACTTTTGTCTTCATATAAGAAGGACAACCTCTTTAATATGTTAGTTATGTTCGAATAAAGATAATTTTAAATAACTACTTATTCGATAAAAATTGATATTAAAACTATATAGAAAGAAAAGACAAAGTGTACCTTTCAAGAGTATCTTTAAAACTATCACTTGCTTTGGACAACCGTCTTTCTTTTCTTAAGCCATCATCAGATGGTGATTTGTCCGGGATTAGTTTGAGCTCTGATTTGCTACTAGATCGTGAACTTTTTCCTTCTTCCTCCTTTCTGCCAGCCGGGTTCATGGGCGCTAACGTGCCCGGCTTTTCATGACGTTTCATCTCCATATTTCAATGTGGCCTACCATCGTAATTGTTCGCCTGCTAAAAATTTTAATCCTGTATATTCGTGATTATTTTATATATTTTACATTGTTCTGTTACTAATATATTTTCATCAGAAGGGACCTTCATGCCATAGTTTAAATATTTTAACAATGTGTAATGGCAGTAGCTAAAAGTATTGTTTATACAAATGAAATAACAAATCTCTATTTATATCAATGTCATTAGTTGATTCACATTTTATTATTGTTTAAATAATTTATTTATCAGATATATTTATTGAAATAATGTATAATGTATATGTAATTTGATTCCATTAAAATCTTTGAATATTTATTCTAATTTAACTTTATCTTAAAACCTGGTTTTGATTATTATTGAAACTTCGGACTGTTTTTAAATAGAAGTGAATTTGGGTCGCGACGTTTTTACTACTTTAAACCCTTTCGTTTAAAATTAAACAAAGAACAAAACTATTTTTTTCAAATTAAATGTGACAATTTCAAGAAACACAGATTCGATAATTTTATTTTATCATTAAGTGGTGAATTCAGCATTTGATTTAAAAACACTTAAACAGTTTTTAGAAGAATATGTCGTAATAATCAATTGTTGTGTTCAATAAATTGTTATAATACTTTGTTCAAAACGCTTTGGAGTAATATTTGGGATAGTTTCACTTAAATGTTCCGTCTTTATTTCAGTCCTTCTATTTTAAAAGTTACAGTATCCGTGTTTCTCTTGAGAACGCAAAACCCGACCCTTTATGTTAGTAACATTAGACATTTTTGACGGCGTTGATAAACTTAAGATAATTTACAATATATTATAAATTTAAATATCAAACTTACTCTGCATATAACTCAAGTGAATGCGTGTTTTAATGAGTTCTTTCTTTTATGTTTTATATTTAAAATAAGAAATTACATAAAAAGTAACATCTAATAATTCATTTAACATACCATAAAGTCACATGAATTTTTGGCACATTAACTTTTTTATGTAAATGTATTATAAATAAACATTGGAGGTAAAACTCTAAGATATGCAGATAAACAAGAATCTCATCAAATATAGTTTTATAGTTAGTCGAAGAGTCAAATCTACCAATAAAATCTGGCATATGCTCTCAATTTTCCACCCATATTAGCAAAACCATCTCTAGCTATGATGCGAAAGTCCACCCTTGTGTGAGGCCTATACTCTCCGTTGGTGTACTTAAAAATAAAAATTCGACATACCAAGTAGTATACACTTAAAGTAAAAAATCCAAAAGCGCTTAGTTTATTTGTATTTTGTATATTTTTACATTGAGAAAAAACAATGTGAATAAATGTTCGCCCTACTTGTTACAAACGCTAACATCTTATTTGGACGGTAGTATTCAGAGGTTATTCTATTTTTTTTTTTGAGGGGGAAAACCTCCAATGACCCTTTTCTTGACCAACATTGTTCACGAGGGTCTAGCTTACTCCGTTTAATGTTGGCAAACTTCCAATGTACGAGAATACTGCTCTAAATTTTCGGCACTTTTAAACTAGTATCCGAAATATTTACTGGAGCAAGCCTGACAAAATCTGCATTACGGCAGCACTATGCGCCTTCAGTCAGTCTCATTACTGCATAGTAACCTAAAACTGCGCTATGCTCTGACAGAACAGCCAAACAGGTTTTTTATATAAAAATTAGTATATAAGGTGATCAAAAAATGTCATAACTTATACTTATGGATAGTCGTTGGTTATTATTACATAAAATATATAACTTAGTAAAACTGTCATGGCGCCCACTACTTAGTTATTTATTCTCGCAGGAAAAGTTAATATTAGTTAGAATTGGAAGTTTAGTTCGACTTATATGGATATTTTAACAAATTTCCAGTTAGGCTTTTTTAATTTATCTTCAGATAGGGTTAAATGAGACAGTGAAGTTTCACTGAATATATTTATCCCTATTCTTAAACATTCTAGTGCATATATAGCACAAGTTGTATTTATATTAAATAGAACCTTTTGTTATAATGGTATTCATCCATAGTAATTAACTCATATTGAAAATGATAAATTATCTCTCTCCTTTTGTTCTGTAAGGTGTATCTGTTTTCCAATACTCAAATAATACTAATCTTATATCAATTAAATTATGTTATAAATCTCTGTTACAAGCAGGACTACGCGACTGACAAATATATAACTTGGGAACTCGGATTATACCTAAAAATAGAAAATAGTGTATATTTTCCATTCCTACAGAAAATTGTCTTTATAAATAGATGATATTGCAAGGATGATTCTAAAAAATATTCAGCCTTCTCAAACTGTAAACATGGTGTCCTTTAAGAGTTTTTTTTTTTCAATATAATTATAAAAATATTTCAATGAACACCTTCACAATATAATTAAACAACATATTAGTTTTTAAAAAATCCTATTGTATTTAAAAAAACGGATATAGAAATGTATGTATATAGACTAAACAACGGAATTTGTTTCATGATGGCTAAAATAAATAACAGTGAAATCTTATTTCTGAATTTCTATAACCTTTGAACAATTGAGGGAAAACTTCTATGAAACTCGTAATAAGAGCTGACGAGTTGCTTAGTATTGACTAAACAACTACTGTATGAGTCTTTTGATTGTCTTGAATGAGTCTTTACGAAACATTTGGCAGATTCAGATTATTTTAAGACAAGATGAAATTAATACTAAATACAAAACACTGTAAAATTTATGTAAAACACTTCTATAACGATCCCACCCATTGGTAAAACTAAATATTATATTGAATCCTTAAAATATTACAAATGACTGTTGAATAGTAAAAAAAGTTTGTAAAGTATAAATAAAAAATATTTTCAAACTTACAAAAGCGCTGTTTGTAGAAATGTACTATTTGTAAACAGTAAGATAAGTTTCAAAACTTCATATAAGTTCAGGCAGTATTTAAATGGAGGTTTTAAAATAACTATAACAATATTGTTCACTTTTTATAAATGTATGTACATATTTTTAGAAGCTTCGACTTAATTTGCAATGCATATGAATATGTTTGTTCGCGTAAAATTTTGCAGCTCAATAAAGCAGATATGATTCGATTGAGCTGAAATTTTGTATACGAGTTCAGTTAGGATGCATAGTTAAATTTGCAACTTCATTCTGAAACCAACAAAAGTATTCATTTAAGCTTACTTTTGTAGAAAAACAAATAAACTAAATAACTTTGTGATTGATTAAAATAATAATTTTTTTATAAGTAAATACGAATATTTTAATCTCACCACAAGTTTTTATATCTTATAAATTATGTAATCACTGAACTACATTAGTACTTCAGTGATTACATAATTTATTTATCTATTAAGATATCAAGTTTTAACGTAAAAGTTTATTTACTTTGTTTTAATGCATTCAAGTAATACTTTGTTTTTTTATAGAATCTCTTCTGCTTTATTTAAATGTATGTATGTATTTAGTATGGATTCCAGGGTAAACTTTTCTAATGAATTATTTTAAAAAGTAAAGTAAAGGTAAAGTAAAGAATAAATTCATATTTAAAAAGTATCTTAAGCAAACGGTTGAAAAAAAAAAATCATATATTATATGTACTATTCCATTTCTTTTTATAATAAACAGATAAGTATTGATATCATGAGTAATAACCGTAACATAACGTATTCAAAATCTTACTAACTAACGTACATTTGAAATAATTAACATTGTAATTACAATCTGTTATCAATCTACATAAGCAAGCTGTATGTTTTGTAGTAACTGAATATCTGCGTGTGATGTTTCCTTAATTATCGTGTGGTTTTGACATACGAACATAATATTATTCGCTTATGAACCCGTTAAGGGTCGCAACACATTCAAAATACCTCTTATATTAATTTTTTTCTTTGGTCTCGACATAATAAAAAAGCTGTGGTTTTAGAACTTACTAATTGTACTTATAATATATAATGCCTTTTGTATTTGTTCCGTCAATATACTGTATATATTAGACACCGGATTAAAATTTGAGTATAAAAACAAATTTACATTATTCACTAATGAATTATTGATTTCTCATTAAGGTATTTAAAAAATATTGAGGATTTATGGTAAAAAAATGTTTACGTAATATAGAATTGTCATTCGTTTACAGAGTGTTGTGTACTTTCAATTTAAAATATAATTTAATAGAACGTGATCTTGATAATCTTTCACATTACTACGAAAAAAATAAAATAATATTGAATATTATAAAAGCAGTAAAAATAACATTTTCGAGGATGCATAGAAGTATTGAATATAACTATGTATAATATTGATAACAAGCCCATCCAAGAAGTTAAATCAGTGCGTGACCTTGGAATTCAATTAGATTCTAAATTATTGATGGCAGAGCATATAGAACTCATTACTGATAAGGCATATAAGCAATTAGGCTTTATAAAACGAATATGTCAAACTTTTAAGTATTGAATGCATAAAAATTTTATATTTTACTTATGTACGACCTATTTTAGAATACGATTGTAGTATATGGTCTCCCAATTATATAACTTACAAAGAAAAACTGGAAAGAATACAAAAAAAGTTCATAAAATTTCTTTGCTTTAAGTACTTTAAAGAATTTAACGATTATGTTGATATATGTAAACAATATAATATTGAAACATTAGAAACGAGACGACGACATTATGATATGTATATGCTACATGCAATAATTAACGGAGATATAGACTGCACCGATTTATTGAGCGCTTTGTATTTAAGAGTTCCTAATCGCCGCACACGCCGCACACACAAAAACTAACTATGCACACAACTCTGTCCTTAATCGCATGGTCAATACATATAATTCACAATACTCAGACATTGATCTGTTCAGCATGTCAAAACTAGCTTTTAAAAAAGCTATAATTAAAAAAGATAAAAATTCATAATAACACACATACACACACAGCCACACACACACACACACACACAATCATGCAAACATGCATCTATTGGATT